GATGGCCTCCTAGCCCTACCACTTGGCTGCAGGTGGCTGGAAAAATCTGCAGCCACACAGGGCTCATTGTGGCCTCTTTCGGGAAGGGGTTGCAGGTACTGACTGGAGGGCCTTCCGGGATGCCATGGTGAGCCTCTCAGAGGACATGTGGATCCCCCGTAGTAAGGCTGATGAGCTGCGAGCTACCTGCGCTTCCCGCAGGAGTGGAACCTATTAGACACACATGGGCACTGCTTCCCAGCCCACTGGACAGGGTGTATAATTGTCACTGCAGTCACTGCTAAATCACCTCATCTTCGTGTGATCAAAAAATATGGTGGATGTTTAAACTAAAAGATTGATTACAGTAAAAGACACACTACTGGTGAGTCCCATCAAAATATTCAAAACACTCCCCTCGCTTCAAACACACTTGACGATATGTCTTTGACTGTGATAATTTTCTTAACTTAAACATTCGTTCTATTTTTCAGTTGCCCCTTGTATAGAAGTATATTTGGATAGTGCTTTATTTCTATCATTTTTTAAGTATATGTGCTGCCCAAGCGAGCACTATCTATCATGTTTTTTAAATGCCCCCTTAATGCAGCAGAAGTCAGGGGTCTTTATCATCCAAAGGCCTCCCCCAGCCCAGACATGTCTACGGTGATCTCCTCTCTTCTGCTTTCTCTCCTGGGCTTCCTCCTAGGCTGCAAATCTGCTGGCCCACAGCTTCTGTTAGTGACTAGGAGGAGAAGCAGCAATTCAGCCAGTGCCAGATGTCGAAAGAATCCAAAATGGTGTTTCAGCTCTGCTTTCTGGAGGCAAACTGCTCAGAAGCCAACATTTCTATTTATAAACTTGAGTCCACATAGCTCTAACCAGACCAGACCCTGCTGGAGAGGGTGGAGCCAGGCACCCTACAGAGATCAGACTTCTGATACTGTCCATGTGTCCCAAGTTGTTTAGAACAGTTTGGCTCAAAGGAGAAGATTCCAGCCTTTCATGAATCGGTCATAGGAGTTAGAATTGCACACATAACAGCGATGAAAAGGAGGCCTGTACCTGTCTGATGGGAGCACAGAGAGGTCACCTGGCTGAGCCAAGGAATTGCCTCTGCTTGCTGAGCTCACCCAGAGGGGTCAGATCTTTGCTTCTTTTCGTCCCACAGTGAAGATTGGCAGTCCCATCCCCACCCAGGAAGCACCAGGTCTTGCACCTGCTGACAGGTGATGTCTTTCCACGCTGCTTCCTGCAGCTTCCCTGGATGACGGATTTTAAACATGAGACTGCAGAAAGAAAATTGAAGCACTTTGGCCTTCACTCAGCCTCTGTCTAATAACCGTGCTATTTTGCTTAGAACATGAATGTGTACTTTAATTTTCTGGGGGGAAAAAACACTTCTTTTCATCAGAAATATGTCCCCGTTCTTTGATGGACTATTGCTTGGCAGATAGGAAGTAGTAACATTGACTTCTAGAATTATTGTGGCCGGGATATTTACTTTCTGCGTTGTTTGGGCTACATTTTTAATTCCCCATGGTCACAAGAAATTCTGGTCCATTTGCCAAAGCCCATGTCTTTGTGTTACTCATTTCCTTATCAGCCTCAGCAGAAATACACCCAGAGAAGGGAAAGGACCAGAGATGAAATTCCAGAGGATCCCTATAAGTGGTCCCCAATTCTAGACGAAGCTGAGACTTAGCACTGAGAATTAAACCCAGGACCTTCCCACTGACCTCCATTTTTCAGCCCTTTCTTTTTTATTTTCAAACAGGGTCTCACTAAGATGCTAAGTTGCCCAGGTTGGGCTCAAACTCGTGATCCTCCTGCCTCAGCCTTCCAGAGTGCTGGGGTTACAGGTGTGCCCCAGCATGCCTGGATCAGAGCACATATTTAGAACTTGCTTGCTAATAGACTGACTGACAGCTCCTCTCCATTAGTCCACGTAATTAAAAGTTGGCTTTATTTAAAATGTACTTTGAAATAGTTAAGTACTGGTGACTTGAGAAATTCTATTAACCTGCAAAGATTTGGGCCATGCATGCCACTTCCAGTAGGCATTCCACAGGCACTGCCATCGGTCATAAAACCTCATCAACACCACGCCATAGGGACTTGGAGAAAAGCCAGATCCTGCAATAGGCTGTGTATTCAGAAGAATTTCCTACAGCCTCTTTCCAGATTCCTTCCACACCTGGCTGGCTTCCCTGGGCATCTGCTCAGGAGCAGACGCACCCTAACAAGATAGCTACACTCACACCAGCCACTTCAGAACACAAGAAGTCTACACAGCACGGCCTACCGAGTGGATGGAATTCTCCTAAGAGATGTCCAAGAAGGGCCGGGTGATTCTGTTAGCCCCGCTGTACAATCACCTGGTTAAGGCTCTGCAAACAAGTTGCCTGCACCACACTGTTAGCAAGTGAGCAACCTAAGGCAGGTTCTATGCTCAGCCTCCTATAGCTATGGAGGTGAGGGCAAACTGTGCGCCTGCTGCACTTCCCAGTCACAACCTGCAGGGGGCAGGCATGTGTTCCCACCCTCCGATGCTCAGAAGGTTCAGAGACTTCCTTTTTGTCTGGTCCTAAGCTTTCCCCCATCATCAGAGCACTGATGCAGGGTGAAGAAGCTTGTCAGTTTTCTTTTAATCTCCCTGGGAGAAGGTAACGCAAGCAGAGTGGCATGATTAATAGGTGCTGAATATTAAAAAAGGTAAGATGTTCTCCCAAGCTATGCGTGGCATCAGGGTGAAGGAGAGGAAGTGCACTGCAGATAATCCTGAGATTAACACATGGGTATTAACAGCCTTAGACCTCGCTCACATGGTGGAAGGTGAAGAATTCTGGGAAACATGGGACTATTGTCTTTTTCCAAGTGAGGCTTCATCGTGGCTTTGGAAGCAGTGATGAGGATTAGATGGGGGTTTTCTCTGCCTGTTCCCCATTTCAGTGACTTCCCCTTTTTTCCAAATTCTTCAGGATGCTACAGTGCGTTCCCCAGGAGAACTCAAAGAGAAAGCCATGGAGTAGACCTTCACTGGCTGTGGTTTCTTCTTGGACTCAGCTCAGGACCCCTTGCGTGTGTTTTCACATTTTTAGATCGGGACTCATAAACAATCTCATGGTTGCTTCTTCTTAGATGCAGTGGTGCAGCTCTAAAGCATCGCCATGGTTATCTGCAGAGACAGCCTAGCCTGGTTATTCCAAGGATGCTCCTTCAGTCATAGCCCATGAGTATAGCAAAGTGCATAAACTGAGAGGAGAATACAACACTTATATTTCCAGAAATCCGTTACAATGGGATTGGCTTGTTACCTAAAAGACTGAACCCCCGGCCACCGGCCAGTGTACCTCTGAGATTTAATGTTGCCGCAGTATTTCTGAGTGTGTTTGTTGGTTGTTCTTTTGTTTTGTTTTGCTTTCCCCTCACTGCTCTTTGGGGGTTATGTTTACCCTTACGATAAGGACAAGGAACTAGAGGAATTGTCCAGAGAGAGACAGTTGGATGAGCCATGTGCTCAGGCTAACACATGGTGAATTTGACTGGCTGATGCTTGGGAGGCATGCCATACCTCAACTATTTATTGAAGATGTTGTTTTCTGTTGTTGCTATATTCTGGATCCTTTTTCACGAAAATAATTCTGCATAAAATCCATGAAGAAAGCACCAGAGATTCTATATCTCAGCTTTAGTCAACTATTATTTTCTCCTAGTCAATACTCTTCGTGTCTTTAAATCATTATTAAACTTTAGAAATTTTAGGGCCAGGGGTTTAGCTCAGTGGTTCCGCCGCCTACCTCACAAGCCAAGGACCCAAGATCGATCCCCAGTACCAAAAAAAAAAAAAACTACATCAAAAATTTTTTAAAAAAGAAATTCTTCTCACTCTGGTATTCTAATCATGGAAATGAAGAACAGATGTGAAAAGAATGCACAGTTGCCCAGATCCAACCTAAGAGGCACACCTATTTATAGTTCAAGAACCCATTTATAATTGTCAGTACAGTGTTCTGCAGTGTACCTGGCAGTGATTACCTAGGTGATGAATGGACATATAAATCCTAAATATTTTTTCAGTGTGAGGCACAAGGTGTTTCTAATGAAACAGAAGGGTTTTAGGTCATTTTTAACATGACATTTTTAAAATCGTGTCTCTAAATGTTTTTTTTTTTTGAGATTAAGTGCACTGATTCGTTCCGTGTTTCTCTCCATTCACTTAAATTTTCCCAAGCCCACAAGACAGAATTGAACACCACCATATTCGAAATCAAATGCTGTGCTGTCCATGTGATGACTGCCCTAATGCCTTCCAGTCCTGTCATATAGACATCCGGTCACTTCTGCCCCCTCAACCCTGCAGAGATAGAGGTATGGGAGTCGTGACTCATCAGAATCACCTTCCATACCTGTACTGCAGAATTCCTGTAGATTCAATACTCTGTCTCAAAGGTGCCATGTTCCAAATGACTCAGTTCCAACCTGTGGGAAGCTCACTACACAGGTGGCAGCGTCCCTGTGCGATTCTCAGAAACCTGAGGCTTTCTTCTGTGTTGCCTCGGTACAAGTGCAAAAATAAACCATTTAAATGCAATTGCTGTGAACAGCTGTTTATGGGTTGGCAAAGGGAAAGTTCATGAACTCTTAGAAAGCTTAGGGACAGGGTGGATATAATTAATACTCAATGATTGGGCTGAAAATAAGTAAAGCCAAGGAAGACAAGAGATCACTCTTAGAATTTTAGAAATTAAAATGTATTTTAACATTACGTTTACCATATTTTAAGATTAACGAAGGGAGTCATGGTGAATATTTTAAGAGACCTCCTATTTCCAAGGGCGACTCATTTCCTTTACATCAACAATTTCGACCCAGGTGCCCGTGGACCTAAGGGTCTATTCTGGGCCCCACAGGTCGTGGCTTGCTGTTAGCTTACTGTCCATGCTATTGCAACTAAACTTCCAATTCTAGCCACTTTTTTCTTTTCTTTTCCTTTTTTGTCTTCTCTATTTTCTTTGCAGAAGCTCATCAGATGAATTGCCACAGTACTCGGCTCATGCAAGACGCAGAAAAGGACGATAACAATAATGACGAGTACGATAACTATGATGAACTCGTGGCCAAGTCACTTCTGAATCTTGGCAAAATCGCTGAGGATGCAGCATACCGGGCCAGGACCGAGTCAGAAATGAACAGCAACACATCCCACAGCCTGGAGGACGATAGCGACAAGAACGAGAACCTGGGCCGGAAGGGCGAGTTGAGCCTAGACTTAGACAGCGACGTTGTCCGAGAAACAGTGGACTCCCTCAAACTGCTGGCCCAAGGGCACGGTGTCGTGCTCTCGGACAACATCAACGATAGGGGCTACGGGGACAGCATGTCGCAGCAGGACAGCAGGAACATGAACTACGTCGTGCTGGGTAAGCCCCTGAACAATGGGCTGGTGGACAAGATGGTGGAGGAGAGCGACGAGGAGGTGTGCCTGAGCAGCCTGGAGTGTCTGCGGAACCAGTGCTTTGACCTGGCCCGGAAGCTCAGTGAGACCAACCCCCAGGAACGCAGCCAGCCAGCCACCATGGGCGTCCGCCAGCACGGCCGGCCGGAGGACGACTTCCCGGGCAGGACGCCCGACAGGAACTACTCAGAAATGATGAACCTCATACGGCTCGAGGAGCAGCTGAGCCCCAGGTCTAGAACGTTCTCCAGCTGTGCGAAGGAGGACGGGTGTCACGAGAGGGACGATGACACCGCCTCCGTGAACTCGGACAGGTCCGAGGAAGTGTTTGACATGACCAAAGGCAACCTGACCTTGCTGGAGAAAGCGATTGCCTTGGAAACGGAAAGAGCGAAGGCCATGCGAGAGAAGATGGCCATGGATGCCGGGAGGAGGGACAGTGTAAGGTCGTATGAGGATCAGCCTCCAAGACAGCTTCCCGGGGAGGACAGGAAGCCCAAGTCGAGTGACAGCCATGTCAAAAAGCCATACTATGGTAAAGGTAATATTTCTACCTAACGTAAGTTGCCTCATGAAAGCATGAGCCTCGTAAGAGGTGTTGCTGGTAGTCGGCAATTAAAATATGAGTCATACTAAGCTTTATCTCTAATGCACATCTTTAGAGTTGGTTCCAGAATTCAATTTTGTGATGCTATTTCCGAAGCGCTAATAAAATATGTGCCTGAGAAATACATAAAGCAGCTCAATGTCCTATTATTAGAGCAGATGACTACTATGACATTCCGGGGAAAAACTCGTTTTCCTTGGGAAGGTAGTGTCAGTGCACCAGCCCATCCTGCCATAGAAAATATTTGAGTGAGCATGCACTGTTGCAAGTAATCTGTACTCTGTGCCAAGCAGCAAGGGTTCGTGTAATAATTAGACCATCCAAGTTGAAAGCACTTACTCCACAAATCGGATTGGGTAGGTGGCATCGTAATTTATAAAATTATCATCCAATGACAGTTATTGATGAAGGAGCCCCCTAGAAAACACCCCCAACAGGAATTGAACAGCAGCAGGTGACCGATGGTGTGAGATGAGGCCAGCGACTGCACATTAATTATCTAAGATAGTCAGGTAATGGAAACCATTTGCTATGCAAAGCGTGATGTGGCCTGGGCTGCGATCAATAGCGATTTCTGTAGTGTATTCAGCCCCCCTCACGTTCAGCAGTGATGGTCCTTTCCACGACAGGATTCACTCTGAAGCCAAGATGACAGTGTTAGCCAGATTTTCTTTTATGAAAGTTGTGGGCATGTATTTGCCTGTATCTGTATTCTTAACTATATGTACATGTTATATGCATTTATAGGAAATATATCATAGATACATCCCCAACCTGTGTTTGTAAAAACAACCATGTCCAGCGGGAGGAAGGTTAGGATTCAACTTCATGGAGCATCCCAGCTCTGCCAATACCTCATTTACAAGTTTCTTTTACAACTAAGCAAGAAGCAGTTTTGAAACGAAATTGGCAGATCCTTAGAGTCTTCCGTTTAGTACCAGAAACGACCCTGCTCGCTGCTTTTCATTTTCTTCTGTGCATTATCAGAAGTTGAGTTACGTTACTGTGGATCTGAGAAAGAGGTGCAGGAACTTAGTTTGAAAATCGGTTGCTGTACAAACCTCAAATGATGAGAACAACAGCACTGTTTCTGTTGCGGCATGGGTATGTGCTCTCCTCTCAATGTATGCACGTAACTTCGGTGGCAAGTCAGGCATCACTGTTCCCAAACCCAAACCGAGGATGAAGCCTGGCCAGGGCTCCACGGAAAAATGGTTGGCAGGTGCCCCAGGGACCACTGAGGAGAATGCTAGACCGCTGAAGGCGTGGAATGTAGTGAAGGGGCATTGTTTTTAAAAGGAAATAGAGTCTTTAGCTTAGTGGAGGTTTGGGTCTGCTCTGGACATTTTCAAGTCTGCGATGCTTAGCACATACATTACGAAGCTGCCATCGTTACCAGGATGCACTCAGCTTTTCAACAAGGAAGGCTTAGTCAAATTTCTGAGACTCAGGCAGGAAGCAAACATTTTGAGGAAGAAACAGTGACCCTTTCTCGTGCGCTTCCCCCGCTGCGCACACACATCTAGGCTTACGCTTCCGGATGATGTTTTAGTGGCTCTCCAGGCAGAGGCTCAGCACCCAGTGCTGGTGCGTTACTCTCTGTGCTCATGGAAGTTATTTGGCCTGCTCATCCTGCGTCACAGTGGCTTCTTTAGGGCCTGTGGTCTCTCTAACCTCAGCTGCGTATTGCAAATCTGGACTCGTTCTGCTTGGCTTTATTTATTTATTTAGTTAGTTAGTTGCAGGAATAGAATAGTCCACTTGTTTCCCCTGAGCAGATGGGGGCAGGGAAGGGAATGAACAGGACAAACTGAGCTGTGCTTTATTTCTGAACAGGAAACACGTTGTGGGGGGCTGGATTTTCCCCCCAGTGGAAGACATTGATTTCTGCTTCTCCCAGTTTTTCCAGATTTGTACCTCTGGCCAAAGATATATCCATTTTCTATCAGCTCTTTCAGTATTATTCTAAGCTCCTCTTGAATATGCCTCTCGTTATATTCAGAACCAAATAAGTAAAAAAGCCAAGCAAGACCAAGAACGCAGATCAAAGAGACTAAGACTCCCTTTTAAAAGGAGAAACTCATGGGTTCCTACCTCACCAATATAATCAAGGGGCAGTTCCTGCCACCACTCAGCATGTCACCAGTTCCTGCTTTCAGAAAAGGTGATGAAATAGGGCTGGCAGTGTGACCCCAAGGTGCAGTGTTCACCAAGGGACACACTCAGTCCCGAGTTCGACCCTTAGTACTGACAAAAAAAAAAAAAAAAAAGAGCAAACACATCTGTGGAAGAATAACATTTCCAAAATTGGGAGCTAATACAAAAGAGGTCATCATGAAACTTTTCTGTCTTCCACACGGTTGACTGCTCTCCTGAACTGAGAGGGAGGCAAACGAAATCATGCCTACCATTGTGTTTTTCCATGAGTTGGTGCAGGGTTTTCGGTTAAGCCGGCAGTGCCCTTGCTTCCTTCGTGGTTTCCTGCTTGCTTACATGCTTGCTTTTGAGGGGAGATGGAAGTGCAAGAAGTAAGAAACCCAAAGGAGGTGACAGTGAAGGCAAACCACTCGGCTCATCTCAATCAGGATTTCATGCATCGAGAGGAGACTATACCTGTGTGGGCTTCCAAAACCTGAAATGGTTTTGAGTCACCTTGTTTTTCTAAAAATCTGTACTTGAAGTTTGAGACGCTTGCAAGATCTATGAAATAATATAATTTGGGAGAAATTGTAAATATCCTGATGAAATAACCACTTTGTGGTTAACGAGAGTCATGACTTCACCTTTTTACCTGTCGCAAGTCCTGTGCGTGTATTTTAACATCTCTTATCTCTAGTTTGTGATTTTTTTTTAAGTAGTTGATACTTTCCTTTGAAACTGTTACCCTGAACTTGCTATTTTAGACTTGCATTGCTTGAATTATACCAGTATGATTATGAAATTACTCCACAGGCAACAAAATGCTAGGCTTTCTGTTCGCATGAGTTAAGAGAAACCCCCAAAAGGTGGTGAGACACTGAAGTCACACCACATAGCTTTGGATCTGTGACAGTGACGTTGGCCCCAGGACTCATCCACCCTCAGTGGCCGGACAATGGATGACAGTGGTGGGAAGGACATTTCCCTGAGACCGTGGCCTGGCTCGGAAGGCGCAGGCGTGTGACCCTTGACAGGGACATGTCTTTTATAGAAACATAACCGCATTTAGAAATCCCTTTGAGTCCTTTGTCTACCTTCAAGTTCACATAAACGACTTGAGAAGAAAGTCTGTAAGAGTTCAAAGATTTTAATACCAAGCTTCGTTTCTTGGTGTAAGTGATTCTTAGCAAGAGCCAAACATGCATTCTCTAACCATCATGATTGGCTTGATGATTGAGCTTAAACCTACGAAAGAATTAAAGAGAATTTAACTCTTGCATTTGCTGGACTAAATTGGGACAGCCACTGTCTACTGCTAATCTGAGCAAGGTTTTCAAAATCTGGCTGAGAAACCCAGATTGCAGTTAGATTGACTATTTGGCCTGTGATTGGCCTCAGAAATGCCTTCTGGAGTTATTCTGCTGCACAGTTATGGACTGTGGTCAACCCTGGGTGTAGGATTAATTTTACTAGCCATGTCATTACATTTCTGGCATCTAGCATTGAAATCCAAATAAATGTCTGCTTCAATCAGCCTTCCGCTGGCACTGCACAGAAGCCGACAGGGCTCTAGGAAAGCACTGCCTCTTCACTGTATGTATGCATGTGCAGCGTCACACCAGCTCTCCTCCAGTTCCGAGTACAGACGAAGAAATCAAAACAAATGGTTGCTCCAGCGGCTTCTGAAGCATTTTCGATTGCCCATCACCCCTGCCAGGTGGGATTCCACCCTCTCGGTCATTTGCTTACAGTGCCTTCTGAGAGTTCAGCTTCTTTCCTGAGAAGTGCTGAATTGCTATGCTGAGACAATGCTGTTTAACTCCAAAGAAGCAAAGTTCGGTGCCAGTCAAATTTTGCGGCTTGTAGCGTTTGCAACCAGAGCTCTCAATGAAAAGAAATTGAGCTGAGGAGTCTCGGAGAGGACTCACTCTCTGGTTGAATTTCACAGAGCAAGTGCCGCGGGATAACAGCATGGAGTTTTGATCTCTGAGAAGGCCACTGCCCCATCATCGTTGACGTTGATTTCTTTGAGCAACACGGCTTTATCATGTAACACACGGGAAACCAGTTAACCAAGAGTTAAGGTTAGGGAGAGATGTCTTAGACTTGTTTTTTGGTTTTGTTTGTTTGTTTGTTTGTTTACTTTAGGATAAAAACAAATACTTTCTGATTCATATGACATTGTATAAGGTTGAAAAAGTCACCCCCTCAAACCCAAGAAAGTACCTACACCAAATGCCCGTGTCTCAGCTTGTCCCCTGACACCTGCTTTATTTCTTTCTATAGCAAAGGTCTCTTCTGATTGTTGAAATGATCACATCTGTCTTCGGTTGGTAAACATTCATTCTCTTGGCAACTGTTGTCGCTTTTAGATCCCTCAAGAACAGAAAAGAAAGAGAGCAAGTGTCCAACCCCCGGGTGTGATGGAACCGGCCATGTGACCGGGCTGTACCCGCATCACCGCAGTCTGTCCGGATGCCCGCACAAAGATAGGGTCCCTCCAGAAAGTAAGTCCGCCACGCCTCAGCGCCACCTGGGGTGCCAGCACTGTGGGTGTGTCTGTGTCATCCCTCCTACCTGACCTCATTTCCATCGTATGGCCCTCCCACCCATGACAGTCAGCTCCCTAGGAAGAGGGCTCTCTGGCCACCTCCCCACCCCATGATTACTGGGGACCCCCAAAGCCCATCTCCCTGGAGCAAGACTCCCAGACCCACCTGGGACCTATCCAGCCTCAGTCCTGCTTGCTCTGTGACCTCAGGCAGGTCCCTTCTATCTCCCTCATGAGTTACGGATTCGAACTACACAGGCTCTCATGTCCCTCCCATATCACTGACCCTCTTTGTCTCCCTGTGGGGAGGGACCTTAAAACACACCGTGCCCAAATCCCTGGATTTCTGTGTAGCATCCAGTGAGTGTCAAGCTCAGGGGTCTGGCTCCATTTTCCTAGGAAAGCCCGTTTCATGTCATGGCCATTCCCCATTTCTACACCAGAGGATCTCAAATAAGCAGGTTGAAATCGGAAGGTTTTGGTCTTACACATTCTTTTTCATAGTTAGGTTCTGATCAAATGGAATGAATCTATAAAAAAAAAAGAAATTCTTTTAGAACAGAAATGATATCCACCTTTTTTGTTGTATCTTTCTTTTGACGGTAAAGTATGCCAACAATATGTCATCAGTTAGAATTGGCGGCTCAGGAAAACAGCACATTTTCAGAAATGAACATGTTTAACATGCTGGTTTTGAGCCGAAGGCACCTGGAGGCATTTCCTCTTATCTAAGATAGTTTCCAGTGGGGGAAACTCATAGTTGGTTTGTGACACACCCACATGACCAGTTGGTGATTTTAAAAATCTTAAGGGCCATCCCATTAAAATCGGTGACACTGAAATTCTTGAGAAACAAATTTGGTTAGAGTGAAGAACATTCTTGGTAGAATTCGAGGCTTAGGAAGCAGGCTTGCTGAGCACCCTTGGGTGAAATACTTTCAGAAACTAATGGGCTCCGGATTTCTCAAAAAGCTACTGAGCATAAGAAGCTCAGACTTCCCATCACTGTCCTGAGAACAAACCGGAAGCCTTGTGCAAATGAGCACACTCCTGTGTGGCCACAATCCCGTGTGTTACATGAGCAAGGAGAAAGCATGGGTTACCGCAGCGGCTTCCACGCGCTAAGCAGACACTGGGACCGGAGCTTGGCTGGCTCCCACAGGCACTAACCCACCCAGGTGCCCGCTACCCCACAGTGTAACACGGGCCCGCTTCTCGGGAGAAGGAAAAGTGGAGCAGCAACTCCGTCGTCCTTCTCTTTCAGGAACTAGCACTGTGGCTGGCAAACTGGGGGTGTTGGTGTTTTTAAAATGAATCTGAGCAGGGACTGACGCCTAAGCAATTGCTGAGCTGAGCTGTAACTCCAGATCTGACTCCCAGGCCCACAGATCGTGCTGAAACCTGGGCCTGGCGCTATACTTGGTCCTGACGAGCTATGCAACGGCAGGCATCTGCACGTGCTCTGAATTTTGCGTCCCTCATCTACAAAGTGAGGTGCTAGGGCCAACCTCTAATGTTTTAAGAAGAAATATTTTGCTGGGCATGGTGGTGCATGCCTGTTAATCCCAGCACTCTGGGAGGCTGAGGCCAGAGGATTGTAAACTGGAGCCCAGCCTAGGCAACTTAATGACTTAGTGAGACCCTGCCTCAGAATTAAAAAGGGCTAGAGATGTAGCTCCCGTGCAAAGATGGGAGAGAGAGGGTTTTACCTATGCATTTTTTCTTTAGAGTATAGATTGTCCAATCTTAAAGGAAGGTCAGTTCCTTACTATGGGTGAGAAATTCTCCTGACTCTGTATTATCATGGGAAAAGTCCAAATGTAGAGGAAACCTGGGCTGTATTCTGATGAGTGACAGATTGCACAGTCCTGTCCCCACCCCAGGGAGACTACACATAGCGTCACCTTAGCAGGTGAGCAGGATGTGGGAGCCCAGGACCACTCTCCCTGACTTACAAACACACCGATGCTTCTATGATAAAAAAAAAAAAAAAAAA